TCCACGAGTTCCCTGGAGAGCTGAGGGGGCTGCTGTGCCCTTTTTCTGCCTTTCCTCTGAGATGGGATAGACTTTGCTTGTACATCCAGGATCGCACCTTTGAGGAGCAACCACTCGTCCTGAGCTCCCCTCCCCTTTGGGTTGTGGCCCTTTAGGGCCTCCCTGACAAGCCTCCTGAGCATGTCAAAATCAGCTTTCCTGAAGTCAAGGACTTCTGTATCTCTGACTGTCTTGCCAGCTTAACAGCAGATGGTGAAGGTGATCAGCTCATGGTGACTATCACCTAACCTCCCTTCAATCATTAAGTCCCTGATTAGGTCATCCCCCATTGCCAGAACCAAGTTGAGCAGCACTTTACCTCTTGTCAGCCCATTGACTTCTTACATCAGATAGAGTTTATCCACACATGAGAGAAAGCTTTGCGACTGCTCAGATTTGGCTGAGTGCTTTTCCCATGAGATGTCTGGGTAGTTGAAGTCTCCCATGACAACCATGCACCAGGAGCGTGCAGCCTCAGCCAGCTCCCTGGCGAACTCCTGGTCAAGCTCTTGATCCTTATTTACTACCAGAACTCATTTAATATCAGAAAAAGGGAAGGAAAGGAAGGGCCAGATCCTTTATGGGTTCTTTACTAAATGAGGACTTAGGGGCCTACGTGCAAAATTTCAATATTAAAAATAAATCCTGTTCCAAGGTGGCCTAACCTTGCATGTACTCCTTTTTTAGAACTGAAAGTTTTCTGGGCACATGCAGTTCTGCCTGCTGCACATGGATATATTCTAGTCTGAGCCACAAGGCACCTAGATGATACCTAAGTCCCATTTGCATCCAGAAATTAGATGAGCTGCCTATGTCACCTGAGGTACATGACCCAGCAGGCACATTCAGAGCATATCTAACACAGCTACAGCACTGCGTTCAGCAAAAACACAACACCTACTTTAATTTTGAACAAGGTATCTCAGATATCAGAAGACATATAAATGTGTTACTGTGGAGCTCAATCTGAGTTAATATATTTTGCCTCTCATCAAACCAAAGCACCTGACAAACACTGCTCTAAAGTTTCAGGTACCTAATTTAGGTCATTCAGTGCTAATGTGTGCATCTGTACATAGCATTGCATTTTGGTATATAGGTATATCCTCTGTCGTGATGCATTTATGCACCCTGATTAGCTCTTTACTCCACAAGTAGAAGCCCTGATTTCAGTAGAACTATTTGAGTAGCAACATTCAAAAAGCCCAAGGTGGAAATGATCCAAGTTATGCGGTTTTCTGTAAGGGACATAGTTTAGATCAGTAGCAAACAGAACATGCATTCGCCCATTAGTGGGGAGTGCGGAAATCCTAGACCAGCTCTGTCATTTTTAAATGCGTGTCTTTGTGTGCCAAACTTCTGCTCTGTTATGGGTATAGACCTATTCTGTGTCCCAAACTTCTGTTCTGTTACAGGAATCAGACTTGTTTCCAATCACTTATACCAATAAAAGCATAAGGTCTGTACCTGGCCTAAAATATTATTTATTATGAGTAAGGACATCAATCTGGAGATTGTCACATGATATATTACATGTCTCCACATGATTAATTCCACATGACAATAATAAGAATAACAAGAACTTTGGATTCAGATATTGTGAAAAAATAAGGAAAAATTAATATCCATACTGTTTATCATATAACTTGAAATAAAAATCATAGCAGAAATATTAATTACCTGGAAGACTATATCTGGTATTTCTCTATCAAACATAGGTATCTGCCAACAATAGCAGGAATCTAGTTGCCCTGAGTTCCTAAGTTGCAACAGCTGGAAACGTTTACAATTTTTAATCTCTTCTTCAGTAACAAAGTTAAATTCTTTTTGCAGCTGTTCAAGACGAAAATATTTTGGAAGAGTTTCTTCCTTGGATCTAGTATACTGTGAGAAAATGTAAAAGCAAGACTGGATTATTTTCAATTTGTTTGAAAGTTTTTTCTTAAGTTTTTGTGTTAGTTTATTAATGAAACTGCACTGGTTTGATACAAAAGCCAAAAGGTATTATGCACATTTCCTCAAAATTTGAACAAATCATCTGTAAAACTAGAGATATGTAGTTAGCCATATGAGTCTAAAGTCAGGCAGAAGGCAAGGTAGATTTGCACATTATAGACTAAGTACAGACTATAAGGTGCTATACACTAGAACAAGTTTAGCAGAAGAACAGCTTTGCTGAGCAGGGAACTCTTCAGTAAGCTTATACACAACAAGAAACTTGGACAAACAACTAGGGAGGAGTCCAAGTGCATTGCTTGGGCATGTAAGGATAAAATCAGGAAGGCCAAAGCACACCTGGAGTTACAGCTAGCAAGGCACATGAAGGGTTTTTACAAGTATGTCAGCAACAAAAGGAGGATCAGGAGAAGCGTGAGTTCTTTACTAAATGAGGAAAGCAACCTAGTGACAGAGGATGCAGAAAAGGCTGAAGTACTCAATGCCTTTTTAATCTCAGTCTTCACAGGCAAGGTCAGCTCCCAGATTACTGCACCCAGCAGCACAGTTTGGGGAGGAGGTGAGCAGCCAACAGTGGCAAGAAAAACAGGTTAAGGACTATTTAGAAAAGCTGGATGTGTACAAGTCCATTGGGCCAGACAGGATGCTGAGGGAGTTGGCTGATGTGATTGCATAGCCACTGGCCATCATCTTTGAAAACCCATGATTGTTGGGAGAGGTCCCAGAGGACTGGAAAGGGGAAAATACAGTGCCCATCTTTGAGAAAGGGAGGAAGAAGGATCCAAAGAGCTACAGAGTGGCCAGCCTCATCTCAGTCCCTACAAAAATCATGAAGCAGGTCCTCAAGGAATCCATTTCTAAGCACTTGGAGGAGAAGGTGATTAAGTAGTCAGCATGGATTCACCAAGAGCAAGTTATGTCTGACCAAGGTGATTGCCTTCTATGTTGAGATGACCAGCTCTGTAGATGTGGGAAGAGCAGTGGATGTGATATCTTGACTTTAGCAAGACTTTTGATATGGTCTCCCACAACAATCTCTTAAGTAAGCTAAGGAAGTACAGGTTAGATGAATGCCTGGTAAGGTGGCTAGAAAACTGGCTGGATCATTGGGCTCAAGAGAATAGTAGTCAATGGCTTGATGTCTAGTTGGCAGCTGGTATCAAGTGGAGTGCCCCAATGGTCAGTCCAGGTCAGTTTTGTTCAATATCTTCATCAATGACGTGGATGATGGGGTAGAGTACACCCTCAGCAAGTTTGCAGATGACACCAAGTTGGGGGGAGAGAGACCTTAACTAATTGGAGAATTGAACCAAAAGAAATTGCATGAGTTTCAAGAAGGACAAGTGCAAAGTCCTGCACTTAGAATGGAACAATCCCACGCACCAGTACAGGCTTGGGACCAACTAGCTAAGCAGCAGCTCTGCAGAAAAAGACCCCGGGGTTACAGTGGACAATAAGCTAAATATGAGCCAAGAGTGTGCCCTTGTTGTGAAGAAGGCTAACGGCATACTGGGCTGCATCTGTAGCATTGCCAGCAGACTGAGGGAAGTGATTATTCCCTTCTATTCAGCACTGGTGAGACTGCACCTAGAGTACTGTGTCTAGTTTTGGAGCCCTCACTACAGAAAGGATGTGGACAAATTGGAGCAAGTCTAGGAGAGAGCAACAAAAATGGTGAGGGGGCTGGGACACATGACTTACGAGGAGAGACTGAGGGAACTGGGCTTACTGGGCATTTATACACATGCTCCAGGAGTGGGGGGGAGGGGGCATTTTAATTAGAGCGGCTCCAAGAGCCACTTTAATTAAAGTGCCTGGAGCATCATGTGCATCAGTGTCCCCGCACTGAAAAATGGCAGTGGGAGTGCTTCAATGAGCTTCAATTAAACCACCCCTGCTGCCATTTTTCAGCACAGGGATACTGATACACATGATGCTAGAGTCTGGCGGAGTGTAATTACAGTACATCAGTCTGGTAATTACAGTACATCAGTCTCAAGTTTGCAGCAAAGGAAGTTTAGGTTAGGTATTAGGAAAAACTTTCTCACTAGAAGATTTTATGATATATATTCATGCTCACATTTCTGCTGTAGGAATTGTTTTTTAAGATTAAGGAAACACTTGGGTTCTTGGGTTCATGTTTACTTTTTGTTGTTTTCTTTTAAAATGCACTTAGTATATGGTTTGAGAAACTTAAATGAAATGTTTTTCTGAAAATACTTTCACCAAGTTGTGCTGTTCCTTTCACTTGCAAAATGATATCAATTTCACTGGAGTTATATGGGTACTATAGAACCCAAATAGTTTGCCGAGTTACATTCAAAATCTTCCCTCTGCCATCCTCTCCATGAAAATGAGGGCTTGTGAAATGTCTGGGGGCATATAAAACCCACAGCAAATAGCTGCATGGGATGGAAGAGGGGCTCTAAATGTTTGCTATAGCTTTTCATTACAAAAGACACCAGTTCTCTGATAGCAGGACTGCTAATAAAATCCAGCTGATTGGAGAAATATTGCCCTTTGAAATAAAAACTGTGATAAACAGCTGAACAGCTTCTTCATATCAGCAACCTGCTGTGAATTAAGCAGATTTGAATCACACAGGTGTAGATGATCTGGATTTTACTGAATAAGAATAGAATTTAACCAATTGTTTTTTTAATTAAAAAATATCCAGGGAGTTTATTCTGAAGTCTGTGGTGCAAAGTTTTTAATTTAGAAAAATGATCAAGGGGCTGTGAAATATCTGAGTCAAGCTGTCTCTGTTTTTGGAATTCCTAGTTCATGTTGCAAACTGAAAGAATGAACTCATTTTGTGTACATTTTAATATATTTTTATTCAAAAGAATAAGAAAGAAAATATAAAATTAAACAGATAACTAGAGTTAGACTTTATAATTGCACTATTATGATTAATAATGAAACAGTGCAAATATCAAATCTACAGTACTCAAAAGTGAGATTTGATTCAACAGATCAGTGGTTTAAGAATAATGTCTTAAATCACCTCATCAGATTAGTACAACTGATAACCAAATCATGATGGTTAAATAATTATTTTTGTTAATCCTGTATCATGAGGCTGAAAATGTCTCATTTAAGTGATGACCCTAACCAATATTGCAGACACAACAGTACCTTCTACCTAGCTAGTGAAAGATGTGAACAGCTCCTCAACAATGTCTTTTTCGTTCTGAGGAAACATACTGATTAGAAGATAGACTTGGAGGTCTTGGGCTTGGACTTTCTTTTAGAGAACTAGGATGATACATTTATCCAGAAACATACCACATGCTAGTATAACAAGTATAACTGGCCTTCAAGGTAACTGTAGTTCTTCAAGATTATTAATCTTCATAATAAAGTTAGCCTTCTTCACCGTAGATGCACATACATTACATATATGAGAGACGAGATACATGCAAGGACATAAAGGCTGCAGTAACTGTCATGGGCGACTGATGCCTCTTGAGTCGGGGGGCACTTGCCTCCCCAGTGGCCAGACCCAAGGGGGGTCCCCCGGTGGCTGATCCCAGGTGATTTATGGGTGAGAGGGGTGGCACCAGTGCTCTTGCCTGCCCCCCTGCCCGGGAATGCTGGCTGACGGGGTACACCAGCATTCTCAGGGGGTGAACATGCACCCCCATGCACGCCCTATACGTTGCCACTGGTAACTGTGACAGCCTACATTCCCTTGCTATTCAGAAGCCTATGCTGCTAAGAATGCTAAAAATGAAGGTTGGCAGGAAGGTAATGGGATCCATGAGGACATTGCAAAGAACCAGTTAATGCAAAGTAAGTAAATCATTTTTTTATGATACATCCATGTGAATCCCACAATAAGCGATTGACAAACAATCTTCTCTTGAAACTCTGGGGATGGAGGCTTAGGTGTATCAAACCAAGATCATAGTACTACTATATATATGGTCATAGGCAACTTGTAGGCGGGGGTACAGGAGGCATGTGCCTCCTCCCCGCCTCCCGACAGGGTCGTCCTCACCACCACCACCACCTGTGGTTGCTCACCAGCTCCGCCCCTGCTGCCACCAACAGCATCTGCAGGTGCTTGCTAGCTTTGTCCTCACTGCCAACTCCACCGGTGGTATCCATGAGTGCCCCCCCAGACTCAGGAGGCACCAGTCACCCATGTATATGGTGGCTACCTCAAGTACCATCTAAAACGCATAATGTTTAACAAAGATTAGTGAATTATTACACATGGCCCTCTTGCAGAGCTCAGAGATCAGCCTGCTTCAAAATGTGCCAGAAACATCATCTATCTCTCAGTGGAGCTTCCCTTACCAGCCAAAGGAAAATGCTTGCCAATCAACCAGTCAGCTTATAGCATGAGAAACATATTGTTTGATCCACTGCAAAAACAAAATCAGTTAACCTTTCAGTGCATTAAGCACAGAGAAAAAAAAAAGAGATGGGAAAACAGCCTGAAAGCTTTAGTTCTGTTGAAGGGGTTAGACTCTGAAGATATCCAGGAGTATGAAGCTTCTTTTCTGTCAGAAAATAATGTGAGTTCAGGACAAAGACAAGAAAGGTAAGCAGTGATTCTGATGAACTTCTGAGATTACCTTGGCTATAAATTGGTGAAGCAATTTCATTCTACCTTGACTCTGTAAACGGATGTGTATGGTAATCCCTTAGTATATCAGCATGGAAAGTTGCCATGCAGCTAAAGATGGCAGCTAAAATGACTATCTTGTTGGAAAGGAGATTTCATGAGCTGCCGAAGAACAACATTCTTCTTCTTTCGTATGGCCGACTTTGAGCATCGATTATAAGTCCAATTCAAGGTTAGTTAAGCAGTCTAATGCTCTTGAGGAAAGGGAATGCATCTCTGCAGTGTCACCATCAAATTTGTATAGAGGCCAGAGTGTTATATGATCCATAGTTTAATCAGGGTTGCTACAGTT